TTTTATTGTTGAACTAACTCGATACAACCGTCTCTTCTATTCTAATTGTTTCTTTTCTCGCACTTATCACTTGTGGAACTTTCTTACTTCTCTAATACGTAAAATCTTTAAAAATGTAAATGCAACTTCAATCGCCACCTTCTAACTTCCTGAACCATGTTTCTTTATTGTACTCTCTTCAATTATCCTCACTAGTCTTCTCATTCACTTTCACTCCATCTAATCCCCGGTGTCGGAGTGGCATTGTCGTCTTGTTTGGGGTGAAATAATTTAAAATATATATGTATATATACATGTAAATATTAGTTTGCAAAAAGTGTGTCATCATGATTGTGACTCGAAATACATTTTCTATCAAACAACTCAACAATTCCCATTCCATACGTACACTTTTCACCAAATTGTATTCTTTCTTGCTTTTTTTCATTTCCAAACCCTGTTCAGAATTCTTCGGACTTGTAACACGTGATCACCATAATAATTGGTCAGGTTCCAGGCAGTAGTCAGACACCACTATAACTCGGGAATAAGTGAGCCTCGGGGCGAGATAAGGGAATCTGAACAGGTAGAGCTGAAGGGTCGAGTAACAAGGGGGCAACGTACAGTCTGACAGGCTGCTTGCAGAATTAGTCTAGTAATTACTTTTTCGGTCGGTCGATAAAACCGAGGTCGGCCATCATTCGATTGCAGTTTCCCGTCAATGTCAGCCATCTTTTAAAATGCGTGTCTTACAGAGGAAGAGTAGATATCATTTATACTTAATATTCCACCGGTTGATAGATATGTTTTTGTGAGAGTGACCAGTCTATAAATCTGATTAAAATATTGCCTAAAATATTTCTACAATTGGTTTACTTGAAGGAAATAAGCAAACTTGTCGGAAATGCCAGTTTGGTGTCAGATTAAAAAAAATATATATAAGAATATGTTTTAATTAATTTGATTTACAGTTCGTATCATATTACAATTATGTTTAATCGGTCCTTGCTGAGTTGATTAGCACGGACATTACGCCCTGCTAATAACTCAGTGTGAAAAAAGAAAGAAAGAATGAGATAGAGAGGACGATAACGCTCTCCTGTATTTAAGGTCTGCTTCAAGGAAATGGAAAAAACTTGTCATTTTCAAATCTTTTAATTTGTACCTTCTTACTTCTTTAAATAATGACCAACATTCGTACTCGTGGTTATTATAAAATGTTTAACGATATTATAGACGAATATCCTTGGGTATGTTATCGTCGTGAAACTCGCAAGGAACGTATTCAATCAATGAGTTAAGAACAATGACTCACAGGAAAATTCAAACAGTAAAACCGTGATGTCATTATTATAGATGTTAATTTAGACATAACAGTTCTGCCGAGTAGTCTCTGGCCTTCTTCAAATGTTTATTGCTTTTTGGCTGATATGGGTTATGTATTGATTATTGTGTTATTTTTCTCTTGTGTTTTCAGTTCATTTTTGTTCCTGCAGAATATATATATATTATTTTCCTATCTGATCCAGAGATCGAACTCTCGATAATCCTCCTACTATTGCATTTCAAATCAGTCCTACACTCATTTCCTCCGTATTCCAATTGTAAGGAAGAAGTTCCATTCAAGCCAATGTATATAATTCGTCAAACCCTACAATTTTAACTTGTTTAAAGCCAAGAATCAATCGTTATCTGTCCTAATTATCCTCATAATCTTTGTTGTAATCGGGAACTAAGGAAACGAAAGCATCATTTCAACCATTTTCTTCAGGCACAGAAGAACCCTGTCGGCCATATTGTTATGTCGGTAGTGAAGTAACCACACTAAGCTGTTTTGCCGTTATTATTACGGACCATGTTGCGAAAGTCTTCATCTCCTATCACCTACCTTTTCTTTTATATTGCGCACCTTATTCCACATAACAATTTAAAACTTATCCTCTACTTTGAGTGGCTCTCGAGACTTGTGTTGTGAATATTAATATAGAAAATAAATGACCGTAACAAATACTGAAGCAAAACTTATATCCACTACACCACCCTCAGCAAGAACAGCAGTTGTGTATTTTTGGAGTTTTTGATATCCAATGTGGAGTAATGGATAGCTGCTCGGATTGAGGAATCGTAAAGTCAAGTTCTAATTCCACTCGGATCCATTACATTCACTTACGTGCTAATACCATTGGGAAAGGTATGAATCTTCTTCTTCTCCCCCTCAGTTATGGGTAAATAGCAGGACGGACTAGGTTCTATAGTCTTGGATGGCAACTGGTCTACTGTAGAAAGAAATGGCAACCTACTGCGCAAAAAAGATATGCTTCGTCAGTCATGTATCGAAACACACATGATCGCCTAAGTGTGTATTACGCATGGCACATAACCGACGGAATGTCTGATGGTTTCAATATTTGGTTATCATGGCCGGTTCGTATAATGAAAACTTGAGGATGGCCATGGGGTCTTGGGCCGAAACGTCAGTCTAATAATAATAAGAAGAAGAAGAATGGCCACTTCTGGTTCCAGACATTATTACAAATGCCAGCCCTGTTGTTTCTGTTGCAACTTTGCTGATCTGACCTTAGTTACAGTTTCTAGGCGAGAACACACAATCTGTCATGATCAGTAATTAAACAAGGCAGAGTACGCTTGTGTTCTCGGTCATGATGACTTGTAACTTTGTACCATCTCGCCACTGGTAAATGCTAGTTATGCAAAAATGTTTTTTTGGAAATGAAAAAAATTTGTATACCATATTATTTTGATCTTTCTAATAAATGAAGAATTAATAAACATTAGTAACTTTTGACTAATATTTGTTCATCTTAAATTCAGTTGCTTTTCAGCACTGTTTAGTGTTTCATCGGCGCTTCTTACAAATGACCGTTGAATGACTGAGTCGCTTTGAAATAAAAACAACTGAAAACAGGTTGAAAAAAAACTTTAATATCTATGGCCTTCTCCTTCTAGTATCTGGGTTCACTCGTCTGACAAGGCAGCTGGACAATACATATTACAGATGCCTGCTCACCCCGCGGTGTCTACATTTATTTTATACTCCAACTATGATGAACAGACCTTAATTACAGCTTCCGGGAGAAGCTTCATAATCGGGTTTGGTCAATTTTTTGAATAAGGCCATTATGCTCAGAGCCTTAGCGATTTGTTTGATTTACGTGTACAATAATCGATTGATTCTAAACTGTTTCCTCCCACACATTTTCCCTCACAAGGATTTGGGGTCAATCGATGTCATGGTTTCGCCTGCCCTGTTCAGTCACATCAGAAAGTCTCCTCCTTGACCAATCGTTTATAGTGAGATTCGAACCCTTGTTTCACTTGTAAGAAATCAAACATTCTGATCACCCGGCAACTTCTATAATAATCAATATCAGAAAAGTAGTTTAAAGGAAAGAGAGAAAATTGACAAAATTGGAGAGGGGAATTAACAGGAGATAACTGACAAATGACATCCATTAAACATGGCACATGGAACTAGAACAGTCTACCCCAGTGAGCGAAATAAAGGGTTCAGTTCGACATTCCGACCACCTGAAGAAGGTCGGAGCATACAACGACCGAAACGTTGTAATAAATATGGCGACAAAGATGAAGATAATAGTCCGAATAATGTAAATAGTGTACATAATACCTCATCTCAGAAATATAGACAGATAACTAAAGGCCGAAACGTTGTAATAAATATGGCGATAAAGATGAGGACAATAGTCCGAATAATGTAAATAGTGTACATAATACCTCATCTCAGAAATATAGACATATACTGAAGGGACGAAACGTTGTAATAAATATGGCGACAAAGATGAAAACAATAGTCCGAATAATGTAAATAGTGTACATAATACCTCATCTCAGAAATATAGACAGATACTGAAAGGCCGAAACATTGTAATAAATATGGCGACAAAGATGAAGACAATAGTCCGAATAATGTAAATAGTGTACATAATACCTCATCTCAGAAATATAGACAGATAACTAAAGGCCGAAACGTTGTAATAAATATGGCGATAAAGATGAGGACAATAGTCCGAATAATGTAAATAGTGTACATAATACCTCATCTCAGAAATATAGACATATACTGAAGGGACGAAACGTTGTAATAAATATGGCGACAAAGATGAAAACAATAGTCCGAATAATGTAAATAGTGTACATAATACCTCATCTCAGAAATATAGACAGATACTGAAAGGCCGAAACATTGTAATAAATATGGCGACAAAGATGAAGACAATAGTCCGAATAATGTAAATAGTGTACATAATACCTCATCTCAGAAATATAGACAGAAACTTAAGGGTCGAAATGTAATAAATATGGCGACAAAGATGAAGACAATAGTCCGAATAATGTAAATAGTGTACATAATACCTCCTTTCAGAAATATTGAGAGATACTGAAAGGCCGAAACGTTGTAATAAATATGTCGACAAAGATGAAGATAATAGTCCGAATAATGTAAATAGTGTACATAATACCTCATCTCAGAAATATAGACAGATACTGAGGGAAGTTCGAATCAGGAAGGTGAGCAAAAATTCTATGGCAGTTACTTAAAAAATATGTCCAAGGCAATCAGTACGTGCCATAGTGCAGGAGATACAGATAACATTCACAAATATTTAAAGCACACGTTGGATAACGTAACGGTTATAAGCAGTTAAAATGGAATCGGCAGAATGAATTCATATTGGAGACGAGGCTGTAAAAAATATTAAAACATATTAATATTTATGGATTTCTACTACTTGTTGCCGAACGCACTCTTCTGTCAAGGCAGCTAGAAAATATCTATTATAGATGCCTGGTCACTCCGCAGAGTGTACCTTTTGTTTATACTACACCTATGATGAGCAGACCTTAGTTAAAATGGAATCACCAAGACGAATTCAAATTGTAGACGAGGCTGTAAACTTTCCACACTTTTGGAATAGGCAACGATCAACATTTTCAGTAGGAGATAACTGTGGGTGGGGTTCTTGGATAGACGTGAATCATTATCCAAGAGATAGAGAGACCGAGAGAGAGAGAGAGAGAGAGAGAGAGAGAGAGAGAGTAAATACCAAATTTAAAATGGTGAATAAAAGAGGGAAACGAACTCAATTACCTTCACTTGTATTAGATACTAGCAGCATGGCCCGGCGTTGCCCATGCTTGATTCAAAAATCGTACGACTCATACGGCAATTGCTATCACTTGACTTAAAATATTTTTGCCCTTCCTTGCCTTTCAAGGAGTGCCCTTAGCCTTGCTGATGTTGCTACATTCCTTACTTCTTGCCTCACACTGCAAATTTTTTCTAAGCTATATACTAAACATTAAATCTGTTACGAAAAAAGAACTAAACAAAATGAACACAAAACAATCAGCTTTAAAAAAGGACTCATAACTGGAAAAACCTAATGAAAAAAGAATGTTAACAACAAATACTTTTTCACATCCAACCCAGTTCTGCGGAATCAGAATCAACGTTGAGTTTAAGCAAGCGAATGAGACAATTGGAGTAAAGTGCCATGCAGATTTAAATTTTTCCCACTTGTGACGAATACAGCTAACGATTTTTTTTTTGGCATGCTAGCATGCTAGTTAACATTCGTGTCAGTCAGCTGTTGGCTCACGCTGGCCAATAGAATCTTCCTGCCTATTCGTGGCAGCCAGCTATAGGCTCTCACTCTGTCCAGTAGAAAATGGCCGCAAACTACATGAAAACTGCCGTAGAAGCATGAAATATCGATTATTTCCACTATCGGTGGGAGTTGGGAAATGCAAAGACGGTCTTGGCCTTCCCACTAACTTGGAGCATGTGCATGTAAATTTTGGTGTAAATCTGTCGAAAATTGCGGCCGTACATTCGTTACACACACATCCTGCCTCTTATAGATAGAGATGCAATCCTCTCGTGATAGATGCGGAAACATATGCAATAACAACAAAATCAATGGTGACAGAGGTCTCCTGGACTTTCAAACATAAGTTGCTTTGAGATGAAATGTTGTTACTATTATACATTGATTCTTTTCAACTCTTTTACTTATCGTTGTTGTCATTAACACATTATTATCGAAACTTATTCTAAAAAATATACTTTAATAACCGCTACTTATCATATCAGTTTTGTTAAAAACAATATCAATCTGGTTTCACAGGCACAAAACTGTGTGGAATTCTGACCTGAAATATCATCTTTTTACGGATCGATATATAAACTTCACTGTGGAATGCTTTGGAATTAAGTAAATTGTTCCCTGACATTTCCAAGATTAAATGTGCCGATTCATACTCGCTTATTCTCTTTTCTATGTCAGATATTTGCCATAGAACCTATTCTCCATGCATTAACTGATAAAACTTCATTTTTCTTTTCTTTTTATTCAGCTGTCATTTTCCTTCCCACCCTAGGCACCAAAATTCAACATCATAACACAATCTGAAGAGGAAAAATATTTTTCTGAAGATGACAGCTTTGGCATGAATCGATGAGTGATTCGTGATTGATAAAGGTTACAATTTGTGAATGCGCTTGTTTGAAACAAAACTACTTTGTCCAAATATGTGTTCCCGCTGTTCACAACAGGCGTCATACGAACGTGACCGGAGCAGAAAAGGAATGTCTTGCCTTGTTGATCTTATAAAATATAAAGAAATAAGATAAGAAATCCTCTTATTTTCTCATTTTATTTATCATAAGTTCACAACCACGATATTTTACAGTGTCTGGGAACTACTTAAATACAGTGGTCCATTCGTAAAAAATAGGAAACCTTTTTTATTTTACTTTTTTTCATTTTAATAATCTTTGTAGATTAGCCTACTTTAGATGCTGTTCAATAAGGATTTGAAATACGTGCAGGATTTTTTAAAAAAATATGTGATCTGTATGAAAGAAAATGATCTGCAAGCGAATCTTTACATTAAAATTTGTATTCTCAAAAAATTGTGAGATGAACCTGTTCAAACATTACAATTTCCTATAGATCAGCGGTCGTCAACCTTTTGAACTTCATGGATCAATGAATGTATAATTTTAAATATGGCGGATGACTAATATGAATTTGGAAAATAGGTAAATATATTTATATAATAATAATCGAAAAACTTATTTTAGTAATATGAAATACACCTATTAAAAGGTAACAAAGTTATAGTGTAGCTATTTAATTAAAATAAAATTGAAAATGTGAAGTTTGCTAGTTATGTTAGGTTATAATATGGCCGGATGAAGTCATATTTGTTTACTTGTGTACTCGACTTAATTTCGGGATTGCATAAGGTCTTGAATATGTATATCATCCATAATACGTTTTGTTACTCGTCATTTTTTTAAATCTGAAGCTTCATAAAAATTGAAATAATGTTATAATTTTTCTACATACCATCAAAAATTTTGGACGGACCACCAGTGGTCCGTGGACCACCGGTTGGCTACCACTGATCTAGATTTCATTTGCTAGAAAATTACATGAACTAATGCCCAAAATGTGTTTATTGCATTTTCTAAGGATGGGCAAATAGTTTACAGATAAGGATAGAATTAATTAAAATAATTTACTATTTTTCTAATCATATGGTATTATTTGTATTAAAGTGCATATATAACTTAAAACGTTTGTCTTTTTAATTTACCTCTGAAGATGATCTTAGAAAATGTCGAAAGTTCTTGAGTTTAAAAAAATACGGTACCTTCCTTGATGAATTTCATTTTAACATATTTCTTCTTTTATGTGCCGTGTCCCTTCAGGACGTATGCCATCATGGTTCTCCACTTCACCCTATCACTTGTAGCTGCCAATAAGTTTTGTCCCTTTGCTACCTCTCCAATACCCTGTTCTGTCATCCAGTTGCTTAAGAATGCTAAATATCTCACGCGTTATTTTCCCTTGTCTCTTTTGCCCTGTATTAGACCAGAGAGTATCAGATTCTTCCAGCCTTCCTTTCTCATTACGTGTCCTAGAAATTTCAGCTGTCTCTTCGTAATGTTATGTATAAGTTTCCTCTTTGCTTGCATCCTCTCCAAAACCCCATCGTTGCTGACATGTTGGATCCATGGTATTCTTAGCATCCTTATGTAGAACCACACCTCTCCTGACTCGAGCCTCTTTTTCCTTTTTGAGGAGACTATCCAACATTCGCTGCCGTAAAGGAGGACAGACATCACGTAGCAAAGAAATCCTCTTGTCTTGTAATACTCTGCCTACATTTTGTAATGCGACTTTGGCCATCCTAATCAGCCACAATATGTCTATATTATTCAATGAAACATGTCTGAATGAATATATGCTGCCTAAATATACATATTATTTATTTAGCATATCATTATAGTATATTAAATAAAAAAACTACTTCTTTTGATTGTCTTATTCCATATGTATCTATTTTTATTGTATATTTCAATGCAGAGAAATTTATTAACGCGTAGATCAAATAATTTAATGATTCCTTGTTCCGATGAATCAGACTCGGAAGGTAAATTGCATATTTTAGACCTTCCTTAGGCCGCAACATTTGTTCGATAGAAAATATTGATTAGTTATCGATTTAAAAATGAGATCCTGTTCATTGTAGAGATACTATGTAAATTTTATCCCTGTCTCTGAAGAGGTACAGGAAATTAGCAGTTTGTTATTGGCATCTGCCTGGTTTCCTTAATTCATTTTTTAACATTTTTCAAACATGGTAGTATGCTAATTATTTTTTCTTAAATAAAGAAAAAAACCGATATATAATTTTATTAATTTATTTAAATTTGAAAATATTTTCATATAATATTAACCACTTTTCACAAATAGTTGAAGAATACACCCCACATACACACCACCTGTGGAAGAGATGCAATTTTTGTCAAAGCATTACACTTTTGGGAAACATCCCTTCTTCAATTTAAAATGTTTGAGGAATTGTGTTTGTGTTTTAATGAGGAATCTTTAGGGTTACGACCATATCATTTTAAAACACTAGTTCCAGAAATTAAGCATTGCTTGCCACTTCCATAGTAAGAAATCATCCCCTGTGCGTTCCATCGGCGAGAAGTAAGTTCTACTCAAGCAGCTTCTTCCTGCGAAACATGGAACAAACTCCCGAGAAGTTGTTTCCCCGTTCACTACTATCTTCATCTGTTCACGTCTACAGTCAACAGTTATCTTCAATTCTCATTCATATGAATTACTCGTTAAAGTGACTCTTTACCTCGAGTGAACCCCAGGCCTTGTACAGGTGTATATAAAAGCACATTTATATATATATATATATATATATATATATATATATATATATATATAGATAGATAGATAGATAGACTCGTTTCGAAAAACCTTGTCTGGTTTTACTAGGTATATATATATATATATATATATATATATATATATATATATATATATATATATATATATATATATAATGTGCTTTTTTAATGACATGGGGTAAAATGATTAAAAAAAGAACAATTATCGGAATAACCCGTAACATCCTATCGCTCCAGTAATATATGTTACTTGCTTCTGCAAATATATTGCGAAGGGTGTCACCAGTTTTAGGCCAGAGGACTTGATAGTAGACAACGCCTATAATGCAAAAAGATATTTTTGTTTTTTTGTTTTTTTTTGAAAAGGAAAAACCCTGTGGCAAATAATAATAATAATAACAATAATAATAATAACGTATCTTATATCGCTGTTTTATTTGTTTGAAGATGACATTTACATTAAGATATATATATATATGTGTGTGTGTGTGTGTGTATGTGTGTGTGTGTGTGTGTGTGTGTGTGTTTGTATTAGCTTGTTAAGTGCCATATGTATTGTACGCTTGGTGAATCAGATTTCTTTCGAGTCATGACTGATTAGGTAGAAGATTTTCCAGCAGTGGGTTACAGTTTCTTTTGTGGTAGACTGGTAGCCAACCAAGGCTATAGGGTCCAAATTGTCCTGCTATTTAAGAGGAGAAGAAGAGATGGATTCGTACTGTTGTAGCATACCTTCAGATGATAATGAGTATGTCCCCATACATATAAATACAGTAGTAAATACTATATGATGTCTGCAGCTGTGGTGGTCAAACACTCTGCCTCCGGGCAGAGAGGATCCCCAGACGAGGCTATGTCGAAGGGCAGAGTCTCGTCTCAGGAAACAGCTACCCGACCCCGTTTTATACAGGGTCTACGAGGAATTTTTGGCCGAGGCTAATGGCTCGGATACCCCACATTAAATTCGTCCTTGTGTTACATCTGACCGCGTGGGGTGGTTGGTATATATCCTGCAGTTGAGGATTCTGTGCTGATCAAACTCTCTGCCTCTGGGCAAAGAGGATCCCCAGACTAAGCTCAGAACATCGTCTCGGAAAACAGCTACTCGACCCCGTTTTATACGGTGTCTAATGGGAATTTGTTGCCGAGTCTACGGGCTCGGATACCCCACATTAAGTTTAGCCTTGTGCCACATCTGACCGCTTGGGACGGTTGGTAGATATCCTGCAGTTGGAGATTCATTGGGAAAGCAGTTGATTTCTTCTACGCGCCGCTGGCTAGTCTTATATGTGTTGTTCTTGTCCGATGTATTATCGTTCATTACCAACCTTCGTGTGATTATTCTGTTCAGTAACCTTCCTTAGGTTACAATACCTACTTTTCACAAGGGTATCTGCGGGTAAGTGAATATAACGAACCCAACTGGTATTCGAACCCAGCTCTCTGATTTCTCATTCCAAACCCATTAGCCGTTACACCACCCACGCACATTATATATACATAACACAAAAGAAACTTAGTTCAAATCACTATTCAAAGTTTCTTGAAACACAAATTTATTGGGTTTCGGTTTTTTTCTTTCTTCTTTTTTAGTCGTTTCAAGAGTTTTCCTTTTAGTAAGTTTCATGATGGTCGAGTTGCTTTTGCCGGTTCTACCAAACTCCCTATCCGTTTCATTGTTGCTTAACTTCGGAGATCGGACGCGAACCAGTGTTTCAAAGTGATATGAACATAGGAGGAGATAAAATGTACACATTGTGTGGAGATGTAGTGGCCTAAGAAAAGTTTTTAGTCAGGAAAAATAAACTACATCCATCAAATTTCAAAATTTATTTACGTAATCGCAACTCAACATAAATAAACAGTATTTGGACCTAGTATAGAATAGGTCATCCATTTGCTAGTTTCAGTGCTTCTATTTGATTTTTCATGGATTTGATCAAGTTATCAACAATCGTCTAAATCATATTTTGCCAGTCCTTTTCATATGGCAAAGTTTATACTGATTATCCTTCACAGCTCGGACCAGCCATTCCATATCCCCAGTGGATAAACATCTCCATTGACTTTGTGTTCATTTATATTGGTTGAAATAAAGGGAAAAATATGTAATGGGACCAGACTGCCAGTACAGGGGCCTAAGAACAGTTTTTAGCCAGGAGAAATAAACTACATCCAATTTCAAAATTAAATTACGTAATCCCAACTAATTCGAAAGTTTATAGTCTTTGCTCACGAATTCTCTCACCCAGTCAATACGCCTATTCCTGTCAACCTCTGAAATCAAGAGCTTCTTTTTTGCAACTCTTCTTTGATAGCGAAGCTCTTTGAGAGTCTTTCTCACCTCATATGGCGACATTTCCATGCTGTTCGTGACATCTTTAACGCTCTGACGACGGTTTCTGTTGACTTCCCTATTCAGCGCCCTTTTCGTTCTCTCAGACACGATGCTTGGTCTTCCTGAACGTTGTTCCACACAACAATGACCCTCTTCATTAAATGTCTTGACAATATTATTAACTGTTTGATGATTAACCTGGAGAAACGTATCAATTTCTCTATTTGACTTGGTACAATGATGCCATCCTTTTATTTGCCCTTGTTGAAATTCACTAATTATTTTTTTACGTCTGTGAACTTTCAAAATATAAGTCAATTATAGTTCATAGATGAAAGTAGTTTGATACTAACACGGTATTGTCTGAAAAAAAAAGAAAAGACTTTATTACACAAGCCAAAATTGCTGTAATTAAGGGTGGCTAAAAACTTATCATAGCCCACTGTATAAAGATTACGATTGTCACAAAAATTGAGAAGCTGAAAATTGGATCAATGGAAAAAGTATTCCCTCGGGAGACTTTTCAAGGAAGTAGATGTTCTGTTCGAATGGAACTTCTTTCTTACGAATGGAATATCAACGGAATGAGGATGGTTTGCCCTTGTGTAACCGGCATGATGGATCTTATCTATGAAGGTCTGAACAGGTGGAAAAAATCAGTAGAGTTCGTCAGAATGTTTTTCAATGAAAAAAGCAATGGAATAGCGAGATGCTTGCAATGTTTCGTCTTTGGGAAAGCGTTGCCCACCTATGGAAATCTCTTTCGATTTCTTGCCTTTTGGACCGAATTGAACTAACCGAAAAAGTATTCACTCGGGAGACTTTTCAAGGAAGATTCTTGACAAAATCTAAAGATGGATTTGTAATGTAATTGATTGTGACTTAATATCTCGACTTTAATTAATTTCTCACCAACCGGGCGTGACTTCCCTCTGTCTGTTCTACAAATATGTTCATGTCAACTGTTCTGACGAAGCTTCTTTTTCCTTGCTGCACCGATTGCATGGATTTAAGCGTGCTGCTATATTAGCAATTAGGTCTCATCGTTTGTTGAACGATCTAGATACTACCGTCGCTTCTATTCTAACAATTTCTTTACCCGCACTTCGCACCTGTGGACATTTCTTTCGATTTCTCGCCGTTCTGATACAATCTTCAAAAAACGTCAATGGCCATCATCTGTATTCTTGGACTCTGTTTCTTTTTTATCTTCTCCTCAATCATCGCTATTCACAGTCTTCTCGTTCTCTTTCGCTTTCAGTCCCTGTAACCTCACCTACACACACCTGCATCTTAGTGGCTTTGTCGCCTTTCTTGGGGTGAAATGATTTTAAAAAAGATAGCAGAAGAAAAAAGTGAATACGAGGCGAAATAAATAAATAAATAAAATGTAAATTTTCATTGTATCATGTTCGATTTAAGTGATTGTTTTTCACTCTTGAATTAAGTGCATTGTCAAGTAAGAAAATGATATTGAATAATAAGTAAACTATATACCCAAGGAAAGTCAGAAGATAGGATTAATGAATGAATTAAGGGTTTATAGCTAGGAAATCTGGTTCAAAGAGTCCTTTTTCTCTCGCCAGTATATATATATATAAAATCTCTACATATAGTCTACGTTCGTTATTATTGAAATACTTAACAAAATCCCAAATAAAATCCGCAATGTTAACGGTCCTAATCTGGCATCTCAACTTTAGTCACTTTTCAAACGCCGTAACGTATCTTTCGTAAAGTGCTTTTTCTATAAATATTTCCATTGTAACTGTTTTCCTTATTTTTCTTCTTTTGTACCTTGGCAGGGAGGTACGGTGGAGTAATGGATAGCGGTTCGGGTTGAGGAATTGGAGAGCTGAGTTCGAATTCCAGTCGGACTCATTACATTCACTTACGTGCTAATACTTTTGAGAAATATATGAATATTCTTCTTCCCCCTCCAGCTATGGGTAAATAAAGTAGGTTCTATAACCTTGGATGGCAACCGATCGAGAAGGAAAAAAAATCTGAATTCAAAACCGTCCTGAAGAGGTTTGGGCTCCGGCAGGCTATAATGCCCGAGAAACATCACTTCTACTGTGGCTGCAGTACACATGTTGTCCCTACGACCCTACGAGTCACATGATAAAAAAGAAAACCTGACTTTACAAGGTCTCATGAACTTACTTTTTGAAAATGGTAGATGTAGCTGTAAGTTCTATGTTAAGAGTTTCGTCACACTTATGCAATTCTCTTCCGACTTCTTGCTTTCAGGTTAACTTTAATCTTCAAAAGTTTAAATACAATTTCAAGTGGTATCTTCTTTCTTTTGGAACCTTGTTATTTTATCGTCCTCTCTCCTTAATAATGACTTTTTCAGATTCTTATACTCTCAAAAACTATTAACAGTATCAAGGAACGTCAGAAGAAGGGACTAAATATCGAATGATACAAGATACAGTATATAGTCGTTAACAAAAGGGACAAACCAAGATGTAAACTATGTATTAAGGACATTAAAATCAAGTCGCTAAAGTGATTTAACTATCTGGTTAGTGTAGTAACAAACGACCGAAAATGTAACATACAATTCTGAAAGCTCATAGGAATAGCGAAGTGACTTTCTGAAACTAAGCACACTATCAAGACATATGAAAAAATGCATAGAAACAATGAATAAAGGTTTTTGAACAGCTATGTAATATCTACCCTCTTACATGGCGTGAATGCTCAATAATCTTGAAACCGACAATAGCTTTCCTTGAGAATACAATGAACAGAACACGTAAGCAACGAGGAAATTATTAAGGCTAATACACTTATCCAACTCCCAATTCAGAGACAAGAGCCTCACTTGATGTATTATCTACGTCTATTGACAGCTGAAATGAACATAGCCTCTAATTTCGCCCCGTAAATTATCGGATAAAACGCGCCAATTTTTCCAATTTTAAATTGTCTCTGAGAAAAACCAAATTATTAGAGATCGAATTTCTATTTCAAATAGTGACGCTTAAGTGTAAAGGGATCAGTCTCTGACAGAATACACTTGCAAAGTCAAATGTTTCTGTTTGTTAAACGAAACTGAATTTTGAAATGTTTGTTTTGAAATCTTAAGCTGGGAAATTTTTAAGAAATAAACTTTTATATTTTAAATTTGATCTTTGCTGAAAATCGACAAAGTAGAAGAAATAAGACGGAAGAAAACGACAAAATAAATCGACAGAACAATAAAATTGAAAGAAAGAAGAAAACGTTGAATAAAGAAAATCACAGCGAAAACAAGAAAGAAAGAAAGAAAGAAAGAAAGAAAGAAAGAAAGAAAGAAAATGAGAGAAGTAATTACAGAAAGAAAGAAAGAAGAAAAGAAAGAAAGAAAGAATAAAAGAAAGATGAATGAAAAACGAATGAAAGAAAGAAAGAAAGAATGGCAGAAGGAAAGGAATAAAGAAAGAAAGAAAGAAAGAAAAATGAGAGAAGAAATGACAGAAAGAAAGAAAGAAAGAAAAGGAGAGAATGCATGACAGAGAGAAAGAAAGAAAAAAAAGGAGAGAATGCATGACAGAGAGAAAGAAAGAAAGAAAGAAAGAAAGAAAGAAAGAAAGAAAAAGAGAATGAAAGAAATTAAATGAATGAAAATGACTGAAGCGACGAAAGAAAGAAAGAAAGAAAGAAAGAAAGAAAGAAAGAAAGAAAGAATGAATGAAAGAAAATAAATGAATGTAAATGGCTGAAGCGACGAAAAAAAGAAAGAAAATAAATGAATGAAAATTCTCGAAACAAAATCAGAAACAAAGAAAGAAAGAAAGAAAGAAAGAAAGAAAGAAAAAAAAAGAAAGAAAGAAAGAATCCCCGAAATAAAAAAAAAATGAAGGGTGAATTATAATTTATATTTTCGGGAAATTTCGATGCATATATTTGTTTCTTTTGGAGATTCTTGGCAATGGTGTAGTTGGATATTTTCCGGATTTCGAAAAACAAAATGTAAATATCGATTAATACCTCCTAGTTTATAAGCCTGGCGCAACACCATCTTCCATACCTCCATTACCTTTTTCCTGCGAGCTAAGCTTTCGCGTAAAACAGTTCGCCTACTTATATGTATGCATGGTTGTGTACGTGAACGTGTAATGAACTTGGCATAAGGTCATCAAAATAGAGCACTGAGTTCGCATAAACAACTTTTAAACTTTGCTCCAATGTAAGTGCCACTGTTTTTATGTTTATCTAAGTCTATCTAATATGTTTATCCAAGTTTATCTAATGTGTGCGATAGAAATTATGTCTTTGATAGCGTATTTGTGTGTGAGAGTATATGAGTGATTATGTATATTTTTATGTCTATGCATGTTTGTGTGTGTGTGCGTGTGGGTGTGTGTGTATGTCTGCTTGCTTATCAGCGTGTGTGACAGTGAGTAAAAGTTATGTGTACGTATGATTGGCTGTGAGTCATTGCTCGTATGTTGGGTTGCAAGTTATTTAAAGACAGGAAATATTTTTAGATTGTAAGAAGTTATTTTTAGATAATAATGGTTTAGTGATACGCACCTTACTAATTAACCCATAGCTAGGGGAAGAGCTAGATTCATACTTTTTCCAAGGTATCTACGCAAAAGTGGATATAACGAACGCAACTGGAATTGGAACTCGGCTTTCCAATTAAAAATTCTGCTCCATTATCCATTACACCACCCGCACATCCAAGCTAACAGCACTTGGTTCTCCCATTGATATTTGATTAGTACTGACCATGTTCGACGTTGCTTAACTTCGGTAAACGTACTGAAACCGGTGTTTCTACGTGATATGACCGCAAGCCTGCACGTATGTGTGCGCGTATGTATATGTATGAGATGTGTCCCTTTATGTGTGAGGGGATGATTAGACTGGTGTCTACAAGTACATGTGTGTACCTTTCAGTATCTCTGTATCTCTGTAATCTGTATATAGTTGTGTAAGTATGGGACAGTTGGTTACCTGCTTATGTGTGTATGACCGTGGTGTGTATGCATGTTGTAGATGTGTGTGCATACATATGATGTGTACGCGTGTGCACACGTATGTGTTTGTGTCTGTGCGTGTGTTTGTGTGTATGCGTGTGTGTGTAAATTCCAATATAGTCTTCCTCGCTTTATGTTTATTATAGATTCCGATGAAGCGTTTAATGTGAGAAAATTTTCAATTTCCTTGCCAAGTGAAACGAATGGACATTTTTTCGGAGAAAGAAAGAAAGAAAGAAAGAAAGAAAGAAAGAAAGAAAGAAAAGAAAAGAAAAAAGAAAGAAGGAAAGAAGAATTGATTGGGGAGAGAATCTGAAAATGCAATCGAGATAAAAGAACCACAATTAATAGGAAGCGTTTTTTTATATCTGAATAAGAAAATGGCGAAAAACGATCTGAAAAGGGAGTCAAATAAAAGAAAAAAAGATTGAATGAATGAATAAAAGCGATGAAAGAAAGAAACAAACGAAAGAGTTGAAGAATAAAGAAAGAAAAACAAATAATGATAATGATAATGAAACAGAGCAAAAAGAAAAAAGAAAGAAAAGAGAAAAGCAAAAAGTAAAAACGTAAAGAAAGGAAGGAAGGAAGGAAGGAAGGAAGGAAGGAAGACGAAAGGTAGAAAGGTTTAAGAATAAAAAGAAAAGGAAAATAAATATAATTTCAAAAAAGAAAGAATAGGACATAGGGTAGCAACGAAGAAAGAGAACAAAAGTAAAGATGATGAAATAAACAATAAAAGAATGAAATAATAAAAAATATGTAAAGAAACGTAAAGAAAGGTACGTAGAGAAAGGTAAAGAAAGGAGAAATGAAAGACAGAAAGAAGACGAAAAAGAAGACTTCGGTAGACTGTTCTAGTTCCACGTGCCACGTCTAATGAATGTCATTTATCAATTGTCTCCTGTTAATTCTCCTCTCCAAGTTCTCAACTGCCTTAACCAGATATTGAACTCACAAATCTTTGGAACTTGTCACTGGATCTAACTAACGCCATTATGCACTGTGCCATGTGTCCTAAAGGACTTATGGCACACATGAGGACAATAGCCCGAATAATGTAAATAGTGTACATAATACATCATCTCAGAAATATAGACAGATACTGAAAGGCCGAAACGTTGTAATAAATATGGCGTCAAAGATGAGGACAATAGTCCGAATAATGTAAATAGTGTACATAATACCTCATCTCAGAAATATAGACAGATACTGAAAGGCCGAAACGTTATAATAAATATGGCGTCAAAGATGAGGACAATAGTCCGAATAATGTAAATAGTGTACATAATACATCATCTCAGAAATATAGACAGATACTGAAAGGCCGAAACGTTGTAATAAATATGGCGTCAAAGATGAGGACAATAGTCCGAATAATGTAAATAGTGTACATAATACCTCATCTCAGAAATATAGACAGATACTGAAAGGCCGAAACAAAGATGAGGACAATAGGACGAATAATAAATATGGCGTCAAAGATGAGGACAATAGGACGAATAATGTAAATAGTGAACATAATACCTCATCTCTCAGAAATATAGAAGATGCTGAAAGGCCGAAACGTTGTAATAAATATGGCGTCAGAAATATAGGCAGATACTGTAAAAGGCCGAAACGTTGTCAGAAAATAAATATGGCGTCGAAAGATGAGGACAATAGTCCGAATAATGTAAATAGTGTAAATAATAATACCTCATCTCAGAAATATAGACAGATACTGAAAGGCCGAAACGTTGTAATAAATATGGCGTCAAAGATGAGGACAATAGTCCGAATAATGTAAATAGTGTACATAATACCTCATCTCAGAAATATAGACAGATACTGAAAGGCCGAAACGTTGTAATAAATATGGCGTCAAAGATGAGGACAATAGTCCGAATAATAAAAGTGTAAAATAGAAATATAGACAGACATGAAAGGCCGAAACGTTGTAATAAATATGGCGTCAAAGATGAGGACAATAGTCAGAAAATAAATAGTGACATAAGATCATCTCAGAAATATAGACAGATACTGAAAGGCCGAAACGTTGTAATAAATATGGCGTCAAAGATGAGGACAATAGTCCGAATAATGTAAATAGTGTACATAATACCTCATCTCAGAAATATAGACAGATACTGAAAGGCCGAAACGTTGTAATAAATATGGCGTCAAAGATGAGGACAATAGTCCGAATAATGTAAATAGTGTACATAATAGCTCATCTCAGAAATATAGACAAATAAAGAGTTGAAACGATTTGATGATTTTCAAAGAACAGATGATCAGACAAATTAGGAGAAAAACAGAAGCCGACGGGTAAAACATCGAAAAGAGGCAACACATAACTTTCTAAAAATGGCTATCAAACAGCAAGTGATATCAAGAAGACAACAACAATAAGTAGAGATGAACAAAATATTTAAAGAATACTGGATTGAAACATTTGGCATGTTTAAGCAAGAATAAAAGCCTTATGCATTTTCTATTCTGAAACTACCATTTGCAGGACTTTGGAAGGAAACATTTTGAAAGTGTTCATAAGAACTTAGGCAATAAAACTGAGGAAGAACAAAGTGAATTAATTTCTCATTAACTGAGTAAGACAAAAACAAAAAACAAAAAAAAACAGGCTGATATTTTTATGAAGTTTATTTCAGGTAGACCCAATTCCAACTTAGTTACTGCTAGTTTTAAGGTTTCAAAAAACATTTTATTGTCACGTGGAAACATTTTGTGTCAGAGATTTGGCCGGAATTGGCACCCAGTCTCATAAACTTTGCCCACGCCTGTTAGAGTTTACTGATTACTTTAAGTAGCTCAGGAGACAGCTTTTAAATTTTAGGTAGTTTATAGTGACGCGGAAGTGTGCTTGTTATTCAGACGTACCAGTATATCCAGAAATAAAATGAAAATGGTTGAATATTTTATTGTTATTTTGATGTTGCTGTGAAAATTATTGTTGCATTGTTTGAAGTGATAAAGAGAGTTCTCGCCATGTGCATATATATATAGATATAAAAAAAAAGATATCATCTATGTATTTGTGGTAGTGCAGAGGTTCTAGGTAGTATCTACTCAAAATATTTTGTTTCAGCATTATATATAAATATGTTTGCATAGCTGGGGGCCATTCTATTTCCCATCGATGTGCCTCTGACCTGAAGAAAAATGGCGGCCGTTAAACTCGAATTTTTTACAGGGGCGTATGAATTTTTTTTTTCATTTTTTTTTAATTCCTCGTCTTAAGAAAGGAGACAGGTGTGTCCGAAAATTTCGCTTTTTAGCATCTTTCTTCCATTTGGGCAAAATGCAAGGAATATTATTAGTCTTATTTTATTTCTCGAATTAATTTAATCAGAATACAATATATATATATATATATATATATATATATATATATATATATATATATATATATATATGTGTGTGTGTGTGTGTGTGTGTGTGTGTGTGTATGTGTGTGTGTTTCTTTCTTTTATTTATGGCATATATATAAATATATATAGATATATAGATCTATCTATCTGCCTATATATATATATATAATATATATATATATATATAGATCTATATATATATATGCTATAAATAAAGAAAGAACACACAAACACAATATATATATATATATATATGAGTGTCTGTCTGTCTGTGTGTGTGTGTGTGTGTGTGTGTGTGTGTGTGTGTGTGTGTGTGTGTGTGTGTGTGTGTGTTAATAGACAATAAAATCCAAAATCATTTCATATGCGGATAAGCTTATTTCGGCAACTTATTTATTTATCAACCCTAGTATCGAGTCCACACCGGAGTTGACAAAAAAAAAAAAAATAAAGATTTATATTTTTGTTTGCCGAAACAAGAATATTCCCCATATGAGATGATTTTGGATTTTATTATTTATTATGTGCTCTGTAATAATAAATACAATGAGTTTTTTTTGTGGATCAGTTTTAATATTTTATATTATTAGGATCCACTTGGATTATATATCAACGGATTTATTACCTGTACTATATATATATATATATATATATATATATATATATATATATATATATATATATATATATAATACTAAAACTTATCCACAAAAAGAGCTCAATGTATTTATTATAAATGAACATATAAGTTACATAACAGAGAAAGCCAAAATAACCTCATCAGTATAGACTATTTAAACTAACGTCAATGATTTAATATTTTATATTATTAGGATCCACTTGGATTTATTACCTGTCTATATTGCTCCAACAACGAATAGTTGAGTTCTCTCGAAATTAATGCTTCAGGGAATTCTACCTACCTCCACTGCCTACCTTCTCGCATGAGTCGAATAAGGCTAACGCATTGACGTTAGTTGAAATAATCTATACTCATGAGGTAATTTTAGAAATTAATTAAGAAATATACATAGTGTACATAATACCTCATGTCAGAAATAGAGACACATACTGAAAGGCCGAAACGTTGTAATGAATATGGCGACAAAGATGAGAACAATAGTCCGAATAATGTAAATAATGTACATAATACCTCATCTCAGAAATATAGACAAATTCTTGTCATATTTGTTGAAAATGTGGTGTACTGAAAAAACAAAAAATAAATCTAATGACAACAAAATGCATGCGTCTCATCTATCTCTCCTTCTGAGATGCGGCATTGTAACTATTTAAATTATTTTCATTGTTTGGGTTATTGGCCTCATTTTTATTGCCATATTCATGACGTTTCGACCGTTGTACGCTCCGGTTTTCTTCAGGATCTGTCTATAATTCTGAGATGAGCTGTTGTAATTATTTACAATATATACAGTTTTCGGGCTGTTGTCCTCGTATTTATTGTCATATTTACAATGTTTCGGCAGTTGTACGCTCCGGCTTTCTTCAGGGTCTGTCCATATTTCTAAGATGAAGCATTGTAACTATTTACACTATTTAAATTGTTCGAGATGTTGGCCTCATCTTCATAGGTTTCTCAACCCTAAATAACATGAAAAAATAAAAGGCGATAAAGACTACGCTTAATTGAAGAATAAATGGGGGTCTGCTTATTGCACATTCGACCAAACATTGAAGAAATCGCGAAAAGACTTCAGTTACAGGTTTCCCGTTAAATAAGCTGCACAAATAATTGAATAGAAACATTGAAATAAAGTTCATATTTGTGGGTGTATTTTTTAAATCTGTTTTTATTTCATATTTAAATGTATACACTTTCAAATTTTGCTAAGTGTGCCGTGATATTTTCATTTACTCCAAGGTGTGCCGTTGCTTAAAAAAGTTGAGAAACACATGTCTACATTCTTTTTGCCTCATTTCCGACTGATTATGTCTTTATTTCCGCTGGTCTACATCTTTTTCTTCTCGTCCGTTTACTTTCGTCTTCTCTTAATTCTAGTTATTTTTCTTCCTTCTCTTAATTCCTACTTAATTCTTACTGTCTTCCTCTCTCTCTCTCTCTCTCTCTCTCTCTTTCTACTAGTATTACTGCTACTACTACCTTCTCTTTAGTACATCCATCCAATATATTTTCTGATTCTCGAACCTCTTCTTTTTTCCTCTTCTTCTTCTTCGCTCGTCTTTTCTTTTCTTCTGTTTTTGCTTGTTTCTTCTCCTTCTTTCTCGTCCGTCTATATTTTTCTATTCATCTAGTCTCTCTACTTTCTTCTTCATTCGCTTTCCGTCAAGGGTCGGCACTAGGGTATGGGATCCCCACGCCCACCGAAGATTTGATATGCCTCCCTCTCTCTCTCTCTCTCTCTCTCTCTCTCTCTCTCTCTCTCTCTCTACTATATATCGATTTCAAAGCGTCCCAACCTTCTTCTTCTTCTTCTTCTTCTTCTTCTTGTCTGGTTTTCGTCCTCTCCCGTCTTTTGTCTTTCTACGTCCGTCTATTTTCTTTTTTTTTTACTTTTTTTTTCTTCCGGACATTTTTATTTTTACTTTTCCCTTTTTTTCTCTCGCTCGTCAACGTAATTTAACGTTATTTTGATTTCTGCTCTGTCTGTTTTCTATTCGCTTTCTGTCTGTCTACATGTTTCTCTAGTCCATCCTTTTCGTCTCAATCTTCTTTCTTTCGTTTGCCTATTGTTTATATTTCTGTCGGTAAATGTACTTTTTTTCTTTCATCTTTTTCCCGTTTGTTTCGCCTGTCTTTTTAGTTCGTCTACTTTGTCGGAGTTAGCTCCTCCTTAGCTCCTTACCTTTCAACAGAGGTCTCTCTCCCCTGGCTATAAATACTCACTGACCCTTCGCCTCTTCCTCTTTTCCTCAGGCTTCAGCCTTATATCACCTCGCAGATGTGAACGCTCACAGATACTGCGTTTCCCAAATGCTGGGAACACGCTAAGAACAATACACGTACGTACGAACACTCACCACAACACAACACATACACATAATATTCACCACACGCACTCTGTCCACGTAACTGTCCATGTAACTTGTAACCTTTCTTGTTATTAATACATATATTTGTTTACATATATTTATCGGTCTTGTTTGTTTTTCCTTGTCTTCTTTGGACTTAATTAAAGTCCAACTTTCTCATGGGGTTGGACCGGCTAGCAGGAAATTTTAACCCACATGTGTTCTTCTACTTCTCCTCAACATCGCCGCTACGGTCCTCTTCAACTTTTTACTTCTTTCTTTCCGTTCATGGATTATCTTTTCCATTCTCGTCCGTCAGATTTCGACTTCCTTTTTGTTCTGTCTACTTTCCACTTTATTTTCCTCCATATAAAATCTCTCTTTTCTTCCGTCCGTCTTTTTCTTTATCACCGTCTCTTTTTTTTTTCTTGACTGTTTACTTTGTTCTTTACTTCTCCTCCGCTTATAAACTTCTCCTTTACTACCTTATTCTCTTTTTCTTCACCGTCTTCATTTTTTCTTCTTCGCCACTCAAATATCTCCTTCAATTCATTCCCGTCAGTCAACTTACCTTCTTCTCGTCTGTCTATATTATTTTACTTCTTCATAGCCATCTATTTGTTTGGTGCATAATTATCAGGCGTTTTTGTAGGCGAGTTATTTATTAATAAAAATTACTGTTTTGTTTACTTTTTTAAAATAAAAATATTATTTTATTTTCATGTTATAAAAATGCGTGTCGATAATCATACACTCCAGAATAATCATTTAAAAATATTATTATAAATATTGTTTAAAATCGCCTGATAATTATGCACCAACCCAATATTTTCTTTTCTCTTTTATTTTTCTCCCTTTTCTTAATGTCCGCCTACTTTCTTCTTTTCTTACACCTTTTACATTTTCTCCTCTGTCTATGTTCTTTCTTTTCGACCGTCTTCTCTCTGCTGGTATATTAATAACATCTCAGTGCGGAATAACTGTCTGGTTATATTGTAGACTCGTCCTTTTCTACCTATCACCCCTAGTAACAGAACAGTCTATACCTTACGCCTACGTACGGAAAACCTCGACCGTACTAAGCGAATCAACAAATTTTATTGGTTAACGACACAATAATCTGAAAGTTTCACGTGCAAAACAAAATTGCGCCAAAACTTCTTTGAGCCGATTTTGGAGTTTCAAAAGATATAAAAAAAAAAACACCGATTGATCAAAAGGGTCAGAGACAAACACCCACAGAGAAATTGCCAACATACTCCACGTCACGCGAAATCACGACTTTACTGCGCAAAAGTACATCAACGCTGACTCACTTGCAATTTAAACTCGACCAACTCTGTGGACATCAAATCGCAAACCTAAAACAACTTTGCTTATCCAAAGTGAACTATACTCACTACATTATTAATCAAAAATCAACATTCGAACGATTCAGAAATATTACAGTCAAAGGTAGGCCACTCTATAAGAACTTATTCCTAAAAACACTTAACATCGACATTTTTAATATTAATTAACACAATTCTAGAAAGACTGTAACTGAACGTACAAATACAAAAAGAGACATACCGAAACCTCAAATATCACACACACTTTGCCATAGTAAGATATACCAAAATATCCTGTATATATATTACTTTGAATTGTATATAAATGTTTTATTGGTTTCTAAACTGAATATGTCTTGTTTTTGATTGTATTTAAAATTCGTTTATTTATTTGTTTGTGGATGCAGAAAGTCACGCAACCTATACAAATTCCTTCTGATTCACTCAATTACAATTAATTAATGCTGCACATCCCCAACAATATTCAATGCCTCGAAAACCAAATAGTTACATTCCATCACCGTCGATCGGACCCCGAACTACCACAAGTCACGATGAACTTATGTCCCCTCGGGGAGGCACCGTGTCTTGAGAGACTATTGGGCGTCAAACTCGCATCTGACCTCAAGCAACTCTTATATCCGATCCATCGCTAAAGATACAAGTAAAATGATCGCCCCCCCCCGCTCTGTACCGTTCCAGTAAGTACCTGACTCCTCATTCTATCCTCTACCTTTATAAGAACCAGATCAAGAAAAATGGATCACTTTTTTCATATTTGGTTGGGAGCTGTCCAGTCCTTACTTTCCAGTCCCTATCGAGTTCAAAATTGTCTCCAAGTTCTTGTGGGTGATGAATTATTTTCAACCCTATGACCTCTCTGTCATAGGCTGGATGTAGCTGGATGTGGCGAGCACTTGCAACATACAACTGGCCATGCGTAAATATTTCTCTCTGCGGCCAACTTCCAACTTTCTGAAATGTTTGGTCTTGTGATTTGTTTATAGTTCTCGCAAACGCAGGGCGAACTGGAAACTAGATTCTTGTGTATAAAAACTTAAAGAACAGATAGAAAAAAACAATATTGCATTTTTATTAAATTGTTATTGTAAACATAGAAGTCGTATTTTGTATGTTAAATAATAAACCGTTTAATTTTCCAAAAAAGATTAATGAAACTTTTTTGTACTAAGCTACGCATCCAGGTAAATGAACTGTACTTTGTACCTCTTATTTGTTTGAACTTCTCCACAAAATTTTGTTTCGTCGCCCAAAATATGACTATTTTATAGGGTGTGACTGACCGACGGGAGGACGGACTAACGGAAGTTACAGAAATTTATATATAGATATTTATTCAATATAAAAATCACAAATAAAAAGTTACAGTTTAACAAAAGTTATCGCACGTGTTTCTATTTATTTAAGTCATTGTAAGATCAACACTGACAAAAGAAAAAGAAAAGGCAGGCAATATTTTAAAGAGAATTATTCCGTGAAATCTAGAGACTCGCTTTTCTTGCAAAAAATAAAATCCTCCCAATTTATTCATTAAAACAATATTAAATATAAAAAAAAAATATTAAAAAGATTTTTAAAAATATTCAGTTAAAATGAAAAATCTGCTTTAATTTATAAATAACTTCGCTTCGTACAGAAATAAATTACCAAAACTTTCTTTAGAACCTGCTGAATTTGAATATATATTCTTTTATGTTCTTACGATTTAAAATTTTTAAACATTTCACATTTAAGTGGTTAAGCCCAAGAGACATACAGAATTTTATTACCACAATTGGTCTGGTAGTTGAACTCTATATCTCGAGATTCTTGACAAAATCCAATGAATGGTCTGTCATGTAATCAATCCTGACCTGGCATCTCGACTTCTATCACTTTCCCACTCCCATGACATGGCTTTCCTCTGTTTTACTACAAAAGTAGACGCAACCATATCTTCTATTCTAATAGTTTCTTTCTTCTCATTGTAGAATTAACTTCTGGTTTATTATTTTCCTAACATCTTCTTTCCCTCCTTGGGTGCCATACGTGACGCACGCTTAGGCGATCATGTCTCTTTTCGATTCATGACTGACTTGGATGAGGTGCCGTTACATTCTTTGGCAGACTGGTTTCAATCTAACACTCTTCTGCTATTTAATTCATAGCTGGGGTCCCGTCACCAACATTCTTCAAAAATTTAAATGTAACGCTAACCGCCATCTTCTGTTTACCTATTCTTTTATTTTTCTTTCTCTTCACTAACGTCTTCTCATTTTATATTACTCCTAGTAATGCCATGCGTCTTAGTGGCATTCTCGTTTTGCTTGGGGTGAAATGATTATAAAGAATACAATTTGGGAAAGAGGTAATGTTTCTTAATTTACGTCTGTCGCAATGAAAAAGTGACCTCTGAAAGAGGCCCCTTCCCTTGAACAAATATTGGGACGTAAGGACAACCCAAAGCACAAATGGAACTCGGATATACTATACGTCGCTAAAGATTCTGATAAAATGGTCGGTTCCCTGTTACAATCCAAGTAGATCCTAATAATATAAAATATGACAGCATTGGCGCCACTTGAAATAATCTATACTCATGAGGTAATTTTGGATTTCTCTGTTATCTAATTTATATGCTCTATTATAAAGAATACATTGGGATCTTTTTGTGGATCAGCATATATATATATATATATATATATATATATATATATATATATATATATATGAGTAACGAAAATCTTGGTAATTCGTATGGATAATCCCAGGTATGATGAAATCCTGAGAGCTCAATGTTAATTCAGAGCTAATAATTTGAAGAAAAACAGACAACTTTAAGGTTCCATTTAATAATTTATTTCACCAGAGACTTGTATTTTTCCCTGGATCTTCAGACATCACTTTCAAAAGGTGAAACGAAAAATGAAATTAAAATTTACACTTTTGACGGGCAGTATTAACCTTATATAATTTGAATTAGAGGGTGATGAGGAATGGTGTGAGAGACATGGTCGAGTTTAGAGAGGGAAGAGAGAGTTTTAAAATTATTTTATATTTCTTTCTATTATAATACTTAATATTGAGGAACGAGGGGGTAAAGATCAGACATTGGCCTATTTAATCGGTCAACTCAACGGAAATGATATGGGGAAAAGGAAAGAGAAAAAGGGGAAAAGAAAAAAGGGGAAAGTAAAGAGAAAAGAGATGTACTTAGGGTTTTTGGAGGAAGAAGAGGGGTGGTATAGCTTTAGTAATTGAGATAAAAAAGATTTTAACCTTTGATAGTAATTTAAATGTTTTATATATATATATATATATATATATATATATATATATATATATAGTACATATATATATATATATATATATATATATATATATATATATAGGTAAGTACCTGACTCCTCCTGCTATCTTCTAACCTTACAAGAGCCAAATCAGATCGAAAATAGACTTCTGCTTCTATGTCTGGGCTGGTGTTGCCCAATCATCATTTTCCTGTCTTGATAAAGACCAAAATTGCCTACGTGGCCTTGTGGGTGATTTCTAGTTTTCCACCTTACAATCCCTTTTCTCCAAGGCGAAACGTCACAAGCCGCTCACTTCTCTACCCACATTTTTCATAGATAATGGTCAAGCGTTCCACTTTCCTTTGTTACCCCAACTCTAACCCTCTCAGTGAAGTGCCCACCACACTGCGCACACTGAGGTGAACCAGAATCATTCCTTTCGTATTCCTTTAATAATAAGTAAGTTCCGCTCAGATAGCTTCTTACCAAGAACTATTTCTTCGTGGATCTGAATCCCAGGAGAGTGTTTTTCCCGACCACTACAATCATTCTCACATATCCGCATAAACATCTATTAATCGCACTCGCTTTCAGTAAAACACTAGATTGATTGGCCCTTGGGCCTTGTACAAGCTGAATATTTATAAGAGAAATATATATATTTATTTAAATAGTGATGAATATTAAAGTGAATTGTAATAAATTAAACGACGTGGCATTTTAATATAAATGTTATTAACAATAATATTGTTTTTCATGATTTTTACCATTGATTTTATATTGATACTATACCCGGGCAACACCGGGTAGCCCAGCAAGTTATATTTTTAAGCAAAATGCACTGTTCATTGTTGCTAATAAATTTTACGATAAAAATACAAAAAATGGGACAGAAGAGGATTGTCAGGGGTCAGGAATGAAGGAAAGATTTAATGATGGAATAGAGTTAATATATTTTAATATACATGCATTTCTAATGATTTTTCCATATAAATGCATTA